TACTAGTTCTCATCATTTTGTTGTTTTTCTTTTTCATTTTTTCAGGTACCTACAACTTTGAACCTAGATGTATTTGTTTCTTAGAAGCTAAATTTATTTTATTTTATTTTTTATTTTAAAGAATAAAAGAAGGATAACATAATAATAGGGGGGACTTAGCAAATTACAGACAAAATGGTAGGAAATTATCAATGGTTATCGTTTTACATATTATTATCTACAAAATAGTTTCTCAGGAAAACAAATAGACAAATAATAGTGAGTTAGAGACAAAAGAGGTAGATTATCAAGAGTTGTTGTGCTATACTTTGGTATCTTCCAAGTGGCTTCTAAAGAAAATAAATAGAGCTATACATGAGTGACCTATTGAAAAATCATTAACTATTCTCAATGGTTGTTGTAGGAAACACATAATAATAAACATACATTATGAAATAGGATAGGAACATTACAAACTTAACACAGTTATGGATAGATTAGTAGGAAAATATCAATGGCTGCTGTAATACATGGTGGTATCTTCAAAGTGGTTTCTCAGGAAGACAGAGATATGCAAGAAGGATCTAATAAGTAGTTACAGCCTAAGGGTTGTCAAAAATAGCATATTACCTCCTCACCAGTGACTCCTTTCACTGAGGTATGATGGCTGGAAGGAAGGCCAGGATTGAAAAGAAGGACTGAGAGACCTGCACCTGTGACTAGCAACAGGCTGTTTTCTTGTTCCTCCATAGTCATGATTACCCAGGACTCCTCGATGGAGATGACGGTCTGGCCAGAGGGAGAAGGCAGACCATGCCCCAAGCCCTCTCATTCCTGTTGGACTAACTGGTAGCATGGGTCTGAGCTCTGGGGCCTCCACCTCAGAGGGCAGACCGATCTCCAGTGGTCTCCTTTGCATCCAGGGCATGGCCCATGGGGCCTCTTAGGGCAGTTCCTCTTGAGGTGGCCTGGCTTTTAACAGTGGTAGCAGGTAAATGCAGTTGTCGAGTTCTTCTTGGAGCCCCGGGAATCAGACCTGGGATCTGTTTCTCTGAGTGGTGCAGCAAAAGCAGCTGCTTTTTCTCAGTCTCTTTGTTTTCTCTCCTTGGCCTCCTCCTCATCATGGCTATAGAATACTGAGGAGGCAATTCTTACTAACATCTCAAGTGAGCTATCTGGGGTGAAAGCCATTCTTTGTAGCTTTTTCTCTCCAGCTTCCCATTGCTTTGGGACCCCACAACCAGTTAGTGTCCTCTCCCCAACTGTCAGCACAGGCAGCAGGAATCCTGCTGCAGACTTCTCCAGAGCTTCACCACAGCCTGTACTGTCAGGGGAAGAATGGCTTCCAATGAGTCTCTGCAGGTATTGTGCAAGGTCCTCCTGGTTTACAGCTTTCGATCGGCTCTTGTGACCCCAGTCCACTAGACCTCTGACTCCGTGGGCTTAGTCTGCATTCTCATGTTCTCTGAGTCCTTGTTCAGCAGCTGCTCCTCCGCTGGCTCTGGACCTTTCTGGTTCCCAATGGCAGGAGCAATAGTGGCCCATTGTATGGCATATATTCCCAGGGGTTGTTCAAAGTTTCAATGATTCACACACATCCGTGGGTGGGCAACTGCAGTCTGTGCATGGTGGGCCAATTGTGTCACTGTTTCTCAGTGTCATGATAGATCTCAATTGAGCGGCGGCGGCCGGCCTAAGGGCCGGCGCGCAACAGCGCTCGCCGCCGCACGGCTCCCCATGCGCTGGGGGCCCACCCTCCGGGAGCCAGCAGGCAGGAAGCTAGCCAGCCAGAAGGCTGGCGCTCCCCACCCGCAGCTCCCTGTGCGCCGGAAGCCCTCCTTCCGGGGAACCACGAGGCCGGGAGTGAGTCGCCAGTCCGAAGACCGGCGCTCCCTGCCCGAGGCTCCCTGTGCGCTGGGGGCCCACCCTCTGGGAGCCAGCAGACAGGAAGCTAGCCAGCCAGAAGGAAGCTAAATATTTTTGAACACATGATAATAAACTCAGGGTAAATTTAGAGTATAAGTACTTTTGCTTGTCTTCAACATATTCCATGAGAAAATTTTTAAGTGATTAAATACTCTTGAAAAAGAATTGTTTGAAAACAAAAAAGATGTTACACCACAAAGGCAATTACTCCAAGTTTCTTCATGGATCAGAATATCATTGAAATATTAGGTTTGAAATAACATAATAAAGACTATCTCAAATAGACAAATACAACTGGATATGGTTTATCATTACATATGCAGTAGACCTTTTTTCATTGAGGCCTATGTATAGTCTCTAAAGGAATAGAGTGGGTCTTACACCTAAAGAATCCTCACAGTAGTAATCAAAACAGCAATAACTTGTGAAGAACTGAAGACAGGAAATCAGTACACATTCTCACTAGGAAGCTAGCAAGAAATTCAGGAATTTCTTAAATTATCTCTGGATAATTGAGTATAATAAGATATATTTTCAATCCTATTGGGAATTTCAGTATATTTTAAAATGTTTGAAAGCAAAATCAAAAGTTCAAATATATATTTGGTAAAGGCTGTGAGGACAGTTTTAAATTGTTTAGGGGATAAGTGATGATTAAAAATAATTTTTCAGTTTGAAATCTTAATCACTTGTCTTAGTGACTTTTTCTTGTTCCTGAGACAAAATACCCTATACCTAAAGTTAAAGGAGGAAAGGTTAGTAATCATGCATCCTTAATCCTAGCATCACACAGCCTAGATCCACCCACCTCCAAAAAGCCCCACCTATAACTGCATGAGGCTTTCAGTGGGGATAGCTAGATAAAAGCTATAACATCATTTAAGATATACTCAGTACCTCCTTTTTATTCATCAAATTTAATTTTAGTTTGTTATGTTGTGTCTTTTTGAGGTGTAGCTTTTTCTTCAAGAGGCCTAGTGAGATTAAAAAAAGAAATATATAACAGTGAAAAGCTTAATTTATCATTCAGACAAACAATATTCAACTGAAGAAATTGTTTCTATATTCAGCATAACAAAAGCCTTAAAGGTGCTCATAGCTTTTGATTCAGAAATTGCACTTATAGGTAGCATCTCCAACACATAATATGAAATATCTAGAATGTTAACACGTAAAAAATAAATATAAATTTAATCACATTGACACTTTTAATAGTGCAAAATAGAGAAAGAGACATTTCATTGCTTACTCAAATAGGGATAAGTAGAAAAATTAACATTCTCCCATAAAATAGAGTAATGGTAAATTATCTGTGAAGAGTTTGTTTTTCGAGATATACTAGTGTATGTTAAGAGAAAAACATTAATAAATAAAATTGTGTGCCTCTGTAAAAATGTACATAGAGTAAAAATTGTTAGACGTATTAATAGATTTTTTTTTCCAGGTGGTGGAATCATAGGTAATTTGCAGAATTACTCTGATAGTTGATTCTTAGTTCTTTCAGAAAAAAAGTGGCCTTACTTTGATGCTTTGTTCTATTGTTTTTTTTTCTTTTGTTTTCTCTTCTTCTTTTTTTTTTTTTTTGATACCAGGAATTGAACTTAGGACTTTGTGCTTGCCAGACAAACACTGTGCCATTGAGCTATATCCCTAGCTCAGTGTATTTGTCTTTGGTAAGCATTTTGCCAATTTTTTTTTTTTTGATTTTACAGGATATTTTTCCATGATGTGATGATTCTTCAAGCCTAGAAGAATGTGTCTGTAATTCAATAACCTCATCTTTGTTGTTTTCAGGCCTGTGGTCACTATTGTAATGAATGCTATCACAAATAAGAGAAGTAGAAATACTTTTTTTTTCTTCTTAATCTACAGAGACATTTACCAACAAAAGCAAGTTACAGACTGCTTTGAAAAATACTCCTGTGGAGAGTTTGATCTTGGGACTTTAATATAGTCTTTAATAGCATAGTGTCTTACAGTATTATTTAAATATTATATTTTGTTTAGTTTTCTTTCTTGAATATTTGAAGGTCATCAGATCTTTGAGTATTTTCTTGGTGGTTTCTGTAGTATGCCAATGCGTAATTATGCATAGAGCATTTTTATTGAGTGAATAAATGTAACTTTTTTTTTTAGTATTTACCCGGGGACTAAAATAAAATGTTATTTACTGAGTGTCAAAGTTCCGCCAGGGATATAGCTCAAGGGCACACGCACCTACCTAACAAGCACAAGATCCTGAGTTCGATTCTCAGTACAAAAAAAAATTTGATTGGCTAGGGATCTAGCTCAGCAGCACAAGTGCTTACCTGGCAAGTACAAGGTCCTGAGTTTGATTCCCAGCACCAAAAAAAAAAAAAACCCCACAAAGTTCTGAAGCAAGGATGAAATTTAACTTGCTACATCTGCCTCAGCTAACTGAATATAATGCATGTTTCCTGCTCAGTCTGAGTGGATTTTCAAAAATAAAAGGGTCAAGTGAAAACATTTAAATAATTTTAATAAATTCATAGACATTTAAGTAATTATAAATAATTTGAATAATTTTAAATTCTAAAAAATGGCATCATTTGTCATGTGGACAACCAAGAATAACATGAGTTTTATTTTCTATTTTGTATAGTATTTGATTTGAATGAACCCTAACTTCTTCCAGGGCTGATGTAATTCTTTCTTTGTTCTTCGATTCTATGTTAATTTGATGTGCTTAGCATTTACCTAAATTTATGTTAAATAGCTTATTAGTCCTAGTTACTTATTATACTTGAGCTTTTTCTTTTTTTATTTTTTGGTGCTGGGAATCAAACTCAGGACTTTGTACTTGCCAGGCAAGCACTGCTCCACTGAACTATGTGCCCAACCCCTTGAGCTTTTTCTTGCTTAGGTTACTTTATCATGTATTTTATTTCTCTATATTATTAAACAGTGTTTGTTCTTACCACCATAAATGAGAATGAAGTTGTGATTTATGTAACATTTTAAAATGTGTTAAACTTGTATGTAGTCATTAAAATACATAAAAAAGATATATAACTGCATTAAGATTTATCCCAGTTAAATTTTGTTTCCCTTTGTTTTGCTTGAAAATTAATTAGTGGCACTGGATATGCTGCTGTTCTTCACTTTGGGATTGTTCGTACACGTTGTATTCTTCGCCTCCATCTTTGACATTTACTTTACATCTCCTTTGGTTCATGGAATGACTCCTCGGTTTACATCATTGCCTCCTCCAGCAAGAAGATTAGTGCTCTTTGTTGCCGATGGCCTGAGAGCAGATACGCTTTATGAATTAGATGAAAATGGAAACTCAAGAGCTCCATTTATTAGGTAAGCATATCACTAATACATAGACATCTCTTAGAAATGTTTTCCTAGGTTCAAGTAAACAGTAAAATATCTCACTGTTTATCTAACATTGGGCACAGTGCAGGTGATGAGAAAGAGAAAAGAGCACTTGTACATTTTTGTTTGTGTTATACCTTAACACTATGATGCCAATTTCCTTCTAGGACTTATTTCTACTATTATACAGGCTGGTATCATATGAGTTGAAATGTGTGATCTTAGCTTCTTTGGCAGACTTGTCCTAATTTCTGAAACCTGTCTCACAATCTCTGATATTTTCTTTTCTGTTCTTCTCTCTTTGCTTTATTTTTCTTTTTGTTGGACTGGTGATTGAAATTAGGGCTATATCTTCAGCCCTCTTTTATGTTTTGAGACAGGGTCTCAATAAATTGCCCAGGCTGGGCTTTAACTTGCCATCTTTCCTGCCTCAGCCAGTATTATCTTTTCCTTTAGAAATAAGCTTGTTTTTCATAAATAATGACAAGCATAAATACTAATAAGTTATTTACAGTAGTGTTTAGAAAACATAAATTTAAAGTATCAAAAATATATAAAATTCAAAAATTAGAAAGCTCTTTTAAATCTGTATCATTATTTAATATGTTTGACTTTTATTAATTAGCTTTGGAAAAAAATGTTTAATTCTCTTGACTTATGAGACTCCTGTATAATTGTTCTTTTTCTGATTAATGGCAAGCCCCTCAAAAGCCCTTTATGCTATTTTGGAGAGGTTAAAATCAAACTTAAGAAGAGATTTATCTAAAATACTATACCTTCATCTTTCTCCACATGTCTCAGTTACTTTCTATCCCTTTATCCTGTTTTATTTTCTTTTATAATAATTATCATGGTGCGAGTTCCATGAAGACTGGGACTTACCATGACATTTTATCTATAGTGCCTAGAATACACATAGGCAGTATATTTTCTTGTTACTGAGACAAAATACACAACACCAAAAGATAAAGGAGGAAAGATTTATTTAGTTCACAGTTTGTAAAGGTTTCACCCTGGTTCCAAGGCAGGGTAACATGGCAACAGTCATCTCAGAGGAGATACTGTTCATGGTGGGTAGAAGGCAGCAAAGTAAGCAAGGGACCTTAGCAGTTTTTTTTCTGCCCCTTTTATATTCAGTCTAGGGCATTAGATAGAATATCTGGGACTAGGGTGGTGCTGCACCAATCAGTGTACTGATTTAGTAACTACCCACCCTTAATCCTAGCACACTTAATCCTAGCATTGTACCATGAGTCAGTCACATACTCTAGATCTAGCTACCTCTGAAAAAGCCCCATCTATGACCATATGAGACTTTGGGGACAGTTAAACACAAACCATAACAGGCAATTAAAAAGTATTTGTTGACTTCTAGAAGGATGAATGATGTTGAATAATGTGTTGAATTTATAGTGGCTTGAGATAAATACATAATAAATGAGCAACTTAATAGGGAAACATTAGTTGGAAAATATGATCAAAGTAGGGTTAGGTATAGTGCACAAAAATCTTTACATAAAGTGGTACAAATAATTAAAATATTTGGATAATATATTTGGGTGAATTTCTTAGTTGCCGAAAAAAAAAAGACAAATAGAGTTTGCTTCAGGTTTTGTTTGCTTTTGCCAGGGATTGAACCCAGGGCCTTGCACATGCTAAAAACTCACTATACCACTGAACTACATGCCAGAATTTTTGAGGTAAAAATATGCTGGTCATTGAGGAAAAGTGAAGCTTTCCTAGTAGCACTTATTTTTCCTTTGGGTCTTCTTGAAGGGAACATTGCAGGCTGTGGTCTCAGTATTTTGTGCTTAAAGCATCAGTGGCATATTTTGTCTTAGGATTCTGTGAGTGGTTAAGTAGTTCTTTGTCTGTTTCACCTTGTTCACTCATGCTACTGCATTGACTCTCTTCTTTCTTAATTTTCAGCTCTTTTGTTTTGATTTTATAGCGCTGGGCAAGTGCTCCACCCTTGAATTACACCCACTTCCCCTACTCTTTTTGGTTTTGATTTTTTCTATCATAACCTTATTTTTCTAAAGTCTCCTGAGGGTCTATGTTAACTGTTCATTATTGTCTCTTAGGAATATTATAATGCATGAAGGCAGTTGGGGTATATCTCATACACGTGTGCCAACAGAATCTCGGCCAGGGCACGTAGCCCTGATAGCTGGGTTTTATGAAGATGTCAGTGCGGTTGCCAAAGGTATTATCTATTTAGACAATTTAATTAAATGAAACTCTTATCATATAAATATTCCTTCTTTACCACTAATTATGTTATAAAATTGAAAAGTGTGTTTTGAGATACTTTTGACTAATATTTTAGCATTCTTTACTTACATGAACATACATTGGTACTGAGTCTGAAATTAAGCTTTAGTCTTTTATCAGGCTGTGCTATTGAAAGAGCATCATTGGAAGGATGTGCGGTTTTCCTAGATATTACTCTCAAGAGTTCAAAAGTGATTTTATATTTTACTAAGAAACAAGTTATCACTTGATGGGTTTTTAGAATAGTGATACAATATACGTAACAAAATCTGCCATTAGTTTTATATTTGTTCTCCAACTAAGGATACTATTTGAAGAATAGGTCTTTTGGGGTTTATTTCACAGTATTATTTTGCTATTGTTACTGCTTGCTTTTTTCTCCATTACCTGAAGGGTGGAAGGAAAATCCTGTAGAATTTGATTCTCTTTTTAATGAAAGCAAGTATACATGGAGCTGGGGAAGCCCGGATATCTTGCCTATGTTTGCCAAAGGTAAGAGTCATTGATTGTATTTCCTTAGGCAGTTGTAGCTAATAAATCAATATGCCAAAGTTTTTATATATATGGTATTTATTGGTTTTGTGACAAATATTTTTGTATCTCTAAGAACGCGTATTACAACAGGCAGACATGCCACATTAATTGGCAGTGTGTCCTTCTCAGATGCACTTGGAAATATTGGCACAGTGTAGTGTTAGATAATATTTCAGAATTAGGGAAATGGTATATGGCTCTATCACTTAAAAACATTATAATCTTAAACACGGATAACTTCTGTGAGTGTCAATTTTTCTGTTTGTAAAATGTGTAAGATATTTGTAAAATTATTAATTTCTATCTCATAGGTTTTAGCATTAAATTAGATAACTTATTGAAAATTAACAGAGTGCTTACACATAGCTTCATTATGTTGATGTCTAGTTCATTACACTTCCACGAATATATATATATGAATATATATATTCACATAAATATTTAAACATTAAAATTTATATTTATAATTTTTGTTTCAATCTACTGACTGTGTCATATATTTTGGCATTTGATATATATGGCAATAATGTGGCATTTATTGAAATGCCATGTATTCAATTCACAACACTGAATATGACATTTGGATTTGTTGTATTTATTTATATGTATTTAAAAAATCTCTTGATTAGAAAATTCATTTATATTATTTTATAAAATCAGTTGGGTGAATTTCATGTCCTTAAAAGTGCTTTTTTACTGGGAAAACAATGACTGGTCATTTCACTTAATTGAAAGATTTTGTAACATTAATCTTAGCCATGGGTGTAATTATAATAATTGGAACTTTGAAGACTATTATGTGTCCAGAATAAAAAATACATATTCAGAATTTTACATATGATATTCTTAGAACATTATTATGCTGGGCAGGCAAAAAATTATCAAAATTCATGCTTTTATATTTTTCCTTCTTTGAGAATCACTTTAGCTTTTTAAGGGGCTGATGGTGCTAAGGGCAGATTTAATTGCTATGGCTTATCAAATTAACCTTCTGTTTGGTTGCTTTTCTCTCACTGCTGAGACAAAATACCCAAAATTAAGGAAGGAAAGGTTTATTTAGCTCACATTGTAAAGGTTTCACTCTGTGATCAGCAGGCTCCAAGGCAGGGCGGCATGGCACAGGGGCAATAGTTCAAGGCAGCAAAAGACAGCAAAAGCAACAAGAGCAAGAAGTGGGGGCAAGCAAGCCTCTTTCCCTCCCTTATATTGTAAGCAGGCTACCTGCCCCCAGGGTGGGTGTAGCACTAATATCATCTCCATGCCCTTGCACAAGATGAGGATGTTTACAAAGTGAGGACCCCGGTGCCCTGCTTAGTTAAACTTCTAAACTTCTCACATTGACACAGTGTATCAACTTATATACCTTCCCACTTATGGCTACAATTAATGGGACAATATCAATGCCTGAATCAGACATAATCCAATAGGACTGTTCTGTTTCTTGTGATAACCACTTAACCCACTCAGGTCTCTTTATTTGGGCTGTGGGAAATAGAATAGCTGAGCAGAGGAATAGTAGAGAAGTGGCTGAGCAGGGTCATTAGAGCTGGACTGATATAGAGACTGTCATTAATTCTTATATTTTTTCCTTATAACCTGAAAGTACCAGTCAAACACAGAAATTGATTATCTTATTAATAAAATCTTGCAAATCTATAAGATTAATATATTTGTTAATTTCTTTAAACTGTTTGACAATAAGCACTATTTATTCCCTTCTATGGAGAAAAATGCACATAGTCTCTAAGAAAAGAAACGTTAGAATTTTCTTCTTGCCTTAGAAAGGTTTATATAGCAGATTTTTAAAAATCTATTTTAGATTGTGACATCCTAAGAAGCATGCATTTTTAAATAGTTTAGTCTTTAACAGGAGCCAAACTTTGGTGCTTATTTTTGTTTTAGTGCATACAAGAATTTAGACTTCCAGGGGCTGGGGATTTAGCTCAGCGGCAAAGCGCCTGCCTGGCCAGCGCAAGGTCGTGAGTTCAGTTCCCGGTACCGGAGAAAAACAAAAACAAAAACAACAAAAAAAAAGAATTTAGACTTCCAAGATTTAGCTTTATAAACTGTGCTGCTATAAACATGAGTACACATATATTGCTGTTGTGTGGTGCTTTTAATTCTTTTGGGACAATACCAAGAAGGGAAATAGCTAGGTCAAATGGAACCTCTCATCCTAGTTTATTGAGGAATCTACACTGATTTCCACAGTGGTGGCACTGTCTACTCTCCCACCAACAGTGGAGAAGCCTTCCTTTTTCCCTGCAACCCCTCCAGCATTTGTTACTGGTTGATTTGCTAATAATAGCTATTCTTTCTGGAGTAATATGGAATTTCAGCCTTATTTTAATTTGCACCTCTCAAATGAATAGTGATGTTGAACATTTTTTCATTATTTGTTGTTTGTACTTCTTCTGAGATGTATCTATTCATTTCAGAGACTATTTTTAGATTGGGTCTTTAAATTTAGGGGGTCTGATTTTTTTCAGTTCTTTGTAGGTTCTAGATACTTGTCCTTTGTCTGAACAACAACTGGCTAGGATTTTTTTCCCATTCTATAGGCTGCCTTTTCATTCTGTTGGTGATTTATTTTGCTATACAAAAGCTTTTTAATAAGATGAGATTCCAGTTGTCATTTCTTTGTAGTATTTCCCACGTAGTCAGGGTTTTGCTTATGAAATAAAAGCCCTTCAACTGATAAATGGATTAAAAAAAGATATTTTTTTTTTATACACTAGAATACTACTCAGCCATAAAGGACAAACTTGAGACACTTATAGCTAAATGGATGAACCCTGAGACCATACTCTCAAGTGAAATATATTGGACACATATGTGCAAATATTGCATAGTCTCTCTGGTATGCAAAAATGAAAGTGTAAATAAGGACCAAAATGTAAAATAGATATTGTGAAATAGGGAGTAATTGTTCAAAAGGAAAGGGGATGGGGGGGTTGTGAAATGGAAAAGAAAAAAAATGAGAAAAAAAGGATAAAATGCAAAGCTTTGTTAATAGGGAGGGGAAAAACAATTGAAGAAAGGGGAAGGGAATGTGAAAAAAAAAAGAGAAACTAAAATATATCATGTACAGGTACAAATTCCCTATGGTGAATGTGGTCATTATATATATCTAAATTAACCCTAACCCTACCAATAAGCCTAATTAAAAAAAAAAAACAATTTAGACTTTAGCATGTTAATTAACTTATGTGATGTAAATGTAAAATCAGAATATTTTTATTGTGAGGACAAAAAGAATATGTTAAAGTACATAGTATGGTTCATGGCACATAAAATAAATAAATGGTAATTATTCCTCCTTTCTTTTCCCTACCATAAAATAAAGATATATTAAAATTTCTGATTACTCATAAAAATCACTAAATAGAATGCATGGCAGTACATTCCCATAATCCCAGTACTCAGGATGCTGAGGCAGGAAGATTACTTGAGCCTAAGAGTTCAAGACTAACCTGACAACATGCAAGACCCTGTCTCAAAAAAAAGAAAGAATTTAAAAGTAAAAAATAGATCTTCAAGTAAATAAGATTCAAAATGTACAATAGATGTTGTGAAATGGGAAGAAATCATCCAAAGGAAAAAGGAACTAGGATGGGGGGAAGGGGAAAGGAAAGAAGTGAAATGGAAAAAAAGTACATGCTAATTATACTACTAGTTTCTCTTAGTTCATTGAAAAGTAAGGTTTGTGCTAATATTGCTGGGACAATTTTTTATACCTAGGTCTTTTTGAGATAGGGTCTTGTTATGCTGTTCAGGCTGACCTTCAACTCACTATGTAGCCAAGCCTGAACTCAAACTCATAGCAATCCTCCTGCCTCAGCCTCCTGAATGCTAGGATTCCAGGCATGCACCATCACACCTGGTTTATGCCCATATTTCATACTCTGAGTAACTACTTTAAAGAAAATAATACTCAATGTATGAATTATTATTATTCTCCTATTATTTTGTTATGAAATTTTGTTTTACTTTTTTTCCATAAAAAAAGTTTAAATGATTATTTGGTGTTTTATGACTTTTTAAAAAATATTTTTAAGAATTATTTTTCCAGGCAGATGTGGATTAGTTACACATCTGTAATCCCAGCATACAGGAGGCTGGGGCAGGATTGTTTTGAGTTATAGGCCAGTCTGGGGTATATAGTGAGTTCATAGCTAGCCTGAATTACATAGCAACATGCTGTCTCAACAGAACAAAACAAAACCCCAAAATTATTTTTCCCTATTTCTTTTCCAGGTGCTAGTGGAGACCATGTTTACACATACAGTTATGATGCTGAAAGAGAAGATTTTGGTGCCCATGATGCAACAAAGCTGGATACCTGGGTTTTTGATCATGTTAAGGTAAGTGCTAGGAGTTGGTTAATCTAGAAAACACACATTTACCTCAAGTGTTGGAAACTGATGTGTTAGTAAATATATCTGAAGTTTCTTCAGCTTGTGTAAACTTCCTGCGTGGCACATAGACACATACGTTAATTTAGATTAGGTTCAGCTTTGCATAGCAGGAAAAAAAATGACTTAAAGGTTTATTTCTATCTTGGTAAACATAATGCCTAAAGTAGGCAGCCAGGGATTTGTGCTATATAGTCAATACGACCCAGTGTCCTGAAGTTCTTTTCTATGCTCAGAGCATGAGGTTTATTACAGGGTCATCTCACAGTCTAAAGAAATGCTGGAGTTCTAGCCATTATTTTTAGTTTTAGCCAAAAGTATGAGGATAAAAAGGACCTTCTCTCCTACTAAATTACTGCAAGAAAAGATGGAAAATGTGTAGGTTTTAAGTTTTGAGGTGTCCCATAAGATCAACATTTTTTACTCAAGGGGAAATGGAGAATCATTTTGGGCTACTCAAGTAGGCTCCAGGATACATAATAAATACTTGCTGGGCACAGAAATTCATGAGTGCTTTGAACAGAGACACCATATAAAGTAGAGACTGATAGGCTAAGAAGTACACTAAGTATTGAAGGGAAAGAAGCTAGGAGCGTATTTCACCTTTTCTAGCCAGAAGATCAAAATGCAATGAGAATCCAGCTTGACGGAGGTGTTGCATTCTCCTACATTTTATTTCATAGCCTCACAAACCTTGTATTCATATGCAAAATATGCAAATGAACAGCACTTTTTACATAGTTGAATATATTTTACCAGTGATGAAATAAATTATAAATTTATCTCATCAGATGTTTTTGTTGTTATTGGTGTTAGCTTTCAATTAGGTTTAAAATTTGAAACCTTTGTTTTTTTAACTTACCTTCACTGTCTAGATTTAGAGTTTCTCAGGGGCTAAGTAGAATGTATATGAAAGTTGGAGGCAATTTTATACTTTTGAGGAGAATGGTAGCAGATTACATACTTTAAAATTTTACTTCCATTTGATCAGTTAGTTTCTCTGATGGCATCGTTTGTGGTTTTTGTCATTTTTAATAATGAATTCTTTTTAAGAAATACTTAAATGTGTTAGACTTTGTGGAAAAGTTAAACATCTCTTATTAAAAGTTAATAACCCTATAGTTAGACACATTTATGTTAACAATTATATATCTTGGGGCTGGGGATTTAGCTCACCGCCAAAGCGCCTGCCTGGCAAGCGCAAGGTCGTGAGTTCGGTTCCCAGTACCGGAGAAAAACCAAAAAAAAAAAAAAAACAATTATATATCTTGGCATGGTCTGTTAACTTATTTATAATAATTTATAAGCAGTCTCCATAGGTACTTAAATACATGTTCATGTATATGTGAGTATACATAACTCATTTGTCTTATGGTTATGAATCCAGTTAGTCATAATAAAGTTAATAAATTTTGAACTGTATTTCATTAAGTTCTATCATTCTATCACACTATGTGAAGAACAGGTTTTAGTTGGGGGAAAGGAAGTAGTTAAGAGATCATTCATGATGTTCTAAATGAGAGATTATCGTTGGACTAAAGTGGTGCAGACAGGACAGTGAGAAGTGGTTCCGCTCTGAATATATTTAAAAATAGTGATTTCTTTTTAAACTGTTACCTCTATCTATTTTGCTTTTGGTTCATGCCAAAATATTTCTTCAGTCTGTTGTGTTTTATTCAGTTAAATATGTAGTAAAAATGATTTTAAATTTTTATGAAATTAAGGTCCCCTTTCTATAGCCTCTTTAGGCCTAGCTATAACACAGAAAACAGCTGACTTATTTGAACATAGATGTTTGAACTAATAACTTTCTGTTGGTAGATCTGGAGGACAAAGTGAACAATGATGATTTAATTTTGTAGTGATAAATTTAATTAAATATTTTCATCAGCTAGTGCTTCTTAAAGTAAATGAACTAAAATTTTTTAATTGATTTATTATGTATAGGAATTCTTTCATGCTGCCAGAAACAACCAGTCTTTGTTTTCTAAAATAAATGAAGAAAAAATAGTTTTTTTCTTACATTTATTAGGAATAGATACAAATGGACATGCTCACCGACCATCATCAAGGTAATTTTAATGCTGTGTTCAATTTGATTTTTTTGAGGACAGTAGATACTGTTTGAATTTTTAAAGGTTATAATATTTTCTTTGTAATTATAACACAACTAATATCTTAAATACTGTAACAAACAGTCAGTTTCTAAATTATATAATATGTATTATGAAGGAGTGGTTAAAATCATGTGTATTTATGCTCCTGCTATAACTTGGCTGCTCCTTTTTATAAAAGTCTAAGGCAAAAGAATAATAATAAAACCTCTGATGAGCCACTCGGATCTTTAGATCTCAGTTGGTCTCCCTATTGCATCAACAAAATGCATTTCCTTAAAAAAAATCATATGTATTTAGCCAGACTGGACATTAAAACAAGTAAAAGGTAGCCTGTACATATATTCCATATTTTTATCAAGCCACAGAAAGTATTTTATTTAAAATGTCTATATATTTTAGAAATATTTTCAGTAAATCTTAAAATAAGTACTTTTATGAGATTAATTTTTACATTACAAAAAATATTATACCTTCTGTATTCTATTTATTCATTACTGTATCTAGCAAATAATTGTATAAATTTTGTCTTTATATTTCCATAGCTCTCCTTATACATAACAGCAAATTTTTTTCACTTTTGCAGACCATAAGAAAGAGGAAGAAATAAGGTTATACTTGTGTTCCTTATTCTAAATTTGGCTTAGACTAGCTTATTTATAAACTATATTGGGTTAGCTACCAATAATAAATACATGTTCCCCTTCTTTAGGATGATGCTCTGTTTTAATAGATAGAATATAGTCACAGGAAACTAACTTTGTCCAACCATATGGTAAGCTTAGATATAATGTTTTCAAGATATATTTTATGTCACAAACACTTATAGGATGGAAATATTCCATACTTGACACAGTTATACTTATCTGTTAAGTTATACTTATCACAGTTATACTTATCTGATAGCCAGAGAGTATCATGTATGATTAGAGACATGAATTTGAGTAACAAGCAGATTTTTTTGGGGGTACTGGGAATTGAACTCAGGACCTTGCACTTGCTAGGCAGGCACTGTGCTGCTGAGCTATATCGCCAGCCCTACAGACATGAATTTGAAAGTCATCATTTTCTCATTTGGGACTTAAAAAAAAGGGTTCATAAAAATGTATTTGCTAATCAGTTTTGTCTTTTTAATCATCTCTGAAAACTATTTCAGGTTCTTTTCCTTCACAGAAGTGAAAAAAAACCTCCATTATTGACAATTTAAAGATCTGATTTTTTAATATATTAAAGATTAACTTTATTAGCATTTATGAATCCTGATTTTTAATGTGAGTCCATGTTGAGTAAATTTGATTTCTGCAAATTAACTTAATTTGTTCTATTGTTTCCTTATAAATAGGGAATACAAGGATAATATTAAAATAGTCGATGATGGAGTGAAAGAAATTGTGTCCATGTTTAAACATTTTTATGGAAATGATGAAAAAACAACATTTATCTTTACCTCGGACCATGGAATGACCGACTGGGGTTAGTCTAAGTGATATGTACCTTACAATTAAAGTAATGGTAAATATAGCTTGCAAATATCTTAAAATGTTGAGAAGATTAGGTGTCTTCTTAAATGTAAAGTTTCTAGTACAAAATAATTGCATGCTTAGCATAAAAAAGGGCCAATCTTACATTAAGAATCTTTCCTCTAGTTGTAAAAAGAATGTGTTCTCATTTACAAATGAACAAGTAGAAAATAGTATGGAAGAAAAGAATAAAAAGTATTTGTTATTTACCTAGAATTCACTGTATGTTACATTCAAGGGGAGTGATGTTAAAATGGTAATGCCAATGGACCTAAGATTGCTGAAATTGTATCCTGCATAAGCCTGTGCTCCCTGTGAGATTCCCATGACAAATGTGGTATATACTCAGAGAAGAAAATAATGCAAAATTGGACTTTGGGCCCTCAAATCACAAAAGAGAATTTTAATGGGCTGTGTTCCACTGTATAAAGGGTTTCTTTCAGTTACCCTGTGAAAGTGGCCTGAATGGAAAGGATCCATCGGCCTCACTGTCCTCTCCAGAAACCCACATCACTTCCTCTAAGCTTCAATAGAGCTCTCACCTGATCTTTGTTTTTGGTGCCACTCTTGTCGTGATGACATCTCCCCCATCATTTATCGTTGTTATTTTTATTTTAACTAGAATCACTCAATAGACATTTTGGCAGTGTTTTTTTTGCTTGTTTTTGGTTTTTACATTTTGGGTGTCAATGCTCTAACTTGTTTGACTTGTTTTAAGAGGATATTTTCAAACTAATTTTTTTTGTGTGTGTGTCTTTGAGACAGGGTTTCGCTATGCAGTTGACGCTAGTATTGAACTCACTTTGTAGCCCAAACTGGCCTTGAACTCGCAGTGATCCTCCTGCCTCAGCCTCCTAAGTGCTGAGATTACAGGCATGCGCCACCACAAACTAATTTTTTATGAGGCATTTGGGAATGTGGTGGCTAGAATTAGTGACATATAGACCAATTCATTAAGTTAATGTATTTAAAAATATTTAGCTGAGAATTCTTACATATTTGACTTATTACTCTTGATATCTTATTTATAGGTTCCCATGGGGCTGGTCATCCTTCAGAAACTTTAACTCCTTTGGTAACTTGGGGAGCAGGAATTAAATATCCCCAGAAAGTATCAGCTCAGCAATTTGATGATAAGTTTTTGAAAGGTATAAACATTTGTCTGTTTTATTTTTAGAAATATATTTGAAAATATAAGTAAAATTGTTTAAAATTTAAATTAATTTTTAAGAGTTACTTTTCAAATTATAGTTTTAAATCCCTCATTTTGATATTATGTCATTACTGGTTTTATGCAAATCAAGGGGTTGGTTTGTTGGTTTTATTTCTCTTCTTGCAGAGTCATTTGCTAAACATTTTCCAGTATCCCTTTGCTAATAATATTTATTTAGAGCTCTAAATGTCTAGAAACTAAATTTTTTAGCCTGTTTGATTTACTAATTTAATTAATTTGAATGTATGGCAGAATAAATAAAGGTAAAATAAATAAGAAACCTAAGGATTGTTAGAGGTAAATTATAAATTTGATTTCAGTTTTCCAACACAAACAGAAAACAATGTACCAGATATCTTGGTACCACATCTATCTTTTTTTCTAATGAGTACAATCTTCTGGAATAGTCCTTTACTTTCTCAGAACTTAACACTCTCATACGAACCTTAAAACCATGATAAACAAGCTGGGTGTGGAGGTATGCACCTGCAAAGCTGCTTGGGAGGCTGAGGAGCCATGGGCCTAGGAGTTTAAAGGCAGACTGAATGACATAGTGAGATCACTATCTCAAAAAAGAAGAAAAATTAGAATAAGAAACAATCATAAACTAAAGTTGTAAGTTATAATTACTGCCATGAAAGAAAATGTGCTGATGTGATAAGACAGGTAAGAGTTAGCACTGGGTTTCTGAAATTTTTTTTTGTTTGTGGTAGTTCTGACAATCAAATCCAATGCCACACACATGCTGAGTACACTCCCAACCCTAAAATTTTGTGATACTTAGTAAACTATGTAAAGTGCATTAACTATAAAAGTGTATGTCTGTATATATATATATATATATAATAGATATAATATATATTACATATATATAGATACTAGCTTAATGAATTGTTCTTGTGTATATACATATGTAATCACCACCCAAATACACATATATAATATTTATAGTACCCCAGAAATTTTCCTTATAGAGTAAGATATTTTTCAGAAATTAATCAAATAGTATATTTGTTCACAATCAGGACAAGAGAGGCTATACATGTGAAGGTGGGGAAAGAGGATGCCAGGCAGAAGAATAAAATGGGAAGAGTTCAGCTTATCTGAAGACAGAAGAAAGGCTGACAATGCTTGGGCTAGGGAGAGATCAACAAATTGAGAGGTTGAAGCGGTGAGGAAGAAATATATCATGAGAGGTGTGAAGGACCATGTACAGAAGTCTGAGTAAAGTGCTAGGTCATTAAATAGTGTTAGAGCACTGCTAGAATTGTAGGTAGCTGAAATAACTGTCTGACTGCTCTGTGGTAAATGAGTTACCTTGAGTTTTAATATGGAGTCCACCAAAAAAAGTTATACACACTTCAGTAGTTTGCATACTAATAAATGCCTGGAAGGTAATGGCCACCACTTTGAGCACCTTTTGTAATTGTAGAGGCAAAATGTAATGTATTAATCTCATGATGTCTCAGTAAATTTAGTTTTAAAATATTAATTCAAGTTTTTCTTTTTCTTTTTTCTTTATTTTATATAAAGAGAGATAAACATAACAATGAATCCAAATTTCAAAACAGGTTATTAGGACAGTTAAAATAGTTGATACATTGCATATAGTTGTCTTTCTAGTAGTTGTTCAGATTAGAAGGAATAGGCATTGTATCTTTTTTTTTTTTTTTTTGGTTTTTCTCCG